CTGAGAATTTTTCAAAGATGATGAAAGACATCAATATCCAGATTTAAGAAGCCATACAAACTCCAAGCAGGATAAGATTCCTAAGCACATCATAGTAAAACTTCTGAAAACTAAAGACAACAAGAAGATTCTAAAAATAGCTGGGTGGTGGTGGGGAGAAATAATCCAGAATACCTTCAGAAAACAACATTACACTAACAGTTGATTTATCAATGAGACAAGGGAAGATAGAAGACAGTGGAATGATACTTTTTAAAGTGTTGAGAGAAAATATCTGCCAATCTAGAATTTTATACCCTGAAAAGATATTCTTCAAGAATGGAAATGTAAAAGACTTAAAAAAAAAAAGAGTAGAGAGATTTTATTACCACCAGATTCACACTAAAGGAAATACTAAATGGAATTCTTCAGGGAGGAGGAAAGTGATTCCAGATGGAATGTTGGAGATGCAGGAAAGAATGAAACACAATAAAAAGATTCAGTATCTAGGTAAGTCTAAATGAATATTGACAGTTTAAAATAGTAATAAAATTATATCCATGGGATTTAAAAATATTTATAGAATTAAAATATAATTACAGTAGCATGTAAATTGAAATTAAAGTGGTTTAGGGTCTTTGTGTTGTCTTGGAAAAATAAAAATTCCAATTTGTGTTAGACATTAATTAATCAAGGATGCATGTTGTAATCTTTAGGGTAATCACTAAAAGAATAGTAAAATGTAACTGCCAACCTGATAGGGAAAATGGAATAATAATAAATATTCAATCAGAAATAAGGCAAGAAAGAAGAGAAAAAGGAACATAGAATAGGTAGTACAGATAGAAAGCAAAGATAGAAGACTTAACCCAAATATATGATAATTATATTGGTAATTATATTAAGTTTAAATGAACTAAATGTTCCACTTAAATTATCAGAGTTGATTTAAAAAATCTTTGAGTTACTTATAAGAGACACATCTAAAATATAAGGATAAGGATACAGAAAGGCTAAAAGTAAAAATGCAAAGCGATAATAGCATGCAAACATTAATCAAAACCAAACTGGTATAATTTAATTAATATCAAAGTACAACTTTATTAGTATCAAAGAATACATAAGCAAAAATCATTATTCAGAGATAAAAGGGACATTTCATAATGATTAAAAGTTAATATTTCTGGGATGCCTGGGTGGCTCAGTCATTAAGTGTCTGCCTTCGGCTCAGGTCATGATCCCAGGGTCCTGGGATCGAGCCCCGCATCAGGCTCCCTGCTCCACAGGAAGCCTGCTTCTTCCTCTCCCACTCCCCCTGCTTGTGTTCACACTCTCTGTGTCTCTCTCCAAATAAATAAATAAAATCTTAAAAAAAAAAAAGTATAATACATCACAACCACTTGAGGTCGTTTTAGGAATTCAAGGTTGGTTTGACATCTGGAAATCAATCACTGTAATTCACATTAACAGAATAGAGGATATGGTCATCACCATAGTTGTATAAAAAATGTTTAATAAAATTTAACATTCATTCATTCATTCATTCATTATTTTAAAAACTCTCTCAGCAAATAGGAATAGAAGGAAACTTCCTTAATCAGATAAAGGTTATCCTCAAAAGGAAGGAGGAGTGTTTGGCACTCAGCTCTGGTATCAATCTATTTTTTCCTGATCTAACTCAGACCACTAAACCTTCTCCTTGCCCGTTTCTGAAAGGGGACAGAAAGTGAGCTGCATACACAGGTCATCAAGATGTGTCTATCTTCTACATGGGAAGCCAAGTAATAATGAGAAGTTTGCTCTGTGAGAATCAGAGGAGAATGAATGAGATGATGTTCATAGCCAATATCCATTAACTATGAAACGCTGATGTATACATCTTTGCATAGATGAGAACACTTGTGTTCTTGAATAAGAAATATATTTCTGAACTCTATGCAGACCATTTCTCTTCTATTAAGGGAAATTATTTTTTTAGACTGAGTGTAATGTGAATCCTTGGGCTGTGGTTTTACACATGCTAATATAGTCATTCTCTGATTCCTGTTGGCTCTGTCATTCTTCTATTCCTTTGCTTCTCTCCAAAAATCCAGACATCCCAAAATACTTTAGGTTTTTCAGTGAGCCAGGCTGATTTATTCATATGTACATTTTGCATATTCTGTGACATTTTCCTGGAATAACCTCTCCATCCTCACACCACCTCCACGCCTCATCCATTTGGCAAACTCCTATTTATTCTTCAAAATCCAACTCAAGTATCTTTCCTCTGTGAAGTCTTCTCTTCTTTACATTGTCACTGTATCTTGCTTGTCTTCTAGAATAGTACTAATCTTACTTGTTAAAATGTTTAGTTCTGTCTCCCTATTAGATTTTTAATTTCTTGAGAAAAGGTTCTGTGTCTTTATATTTGTATTCCTAGTATTTAAGCCCAATAAAAGTTCATTAAATGAAGGAATGAATGAGTGAATGAATAAACAAACAATTGAATGAATCCACCTCAGTAGGGCTCTTTCTTCTTATGATCACCATTTGGGTATTCTGCTAAGCACTCATGAACTCATTCTAGCTAGTAATGAAAACTTCTCTGGTTGAGTACATTAAATTTATAATCAATAATTAACTCTAAATTGAATTTATAATTGCTTTTATCATACTACTACAATCATGGATATTCAAAATGCTGATTTCCCAGATGCATGTCATAACCTTACTTTTTAATTTCATCCTGCTTCTCTTAAATAAACAAAGAAGAAGGGGTAGAAGGAATTGAAAATTCTGAGGAATAACTTTAATTATGTAAATAGCTTGAAAAAAACATTGTAAAATAAGATTCAATCCAGAACCAAGATAGAGTATTAATTCCTAATTAAGTTCCGTGGTTTAATACCAAAGCAAATAAGTGAGGGCAGAGTTGCCAAGGAAATGGAGAAACTAGTTCTTCCCATTGCTTTCCAGCCCTTTGCACTCATGGCATGTATAGGAAGTGAAATTACTTATAGTGCCCTGGGATAAATGGATGAGGCTGCTTGCTGTTGAAGACCAGCTGGGCAGGGGTTCTGGCTGCCCTAGGCTCTCCCTGGCAGTGGTGAGAGTTAAGGAAGTCAGGATCTCAGTGGTCCATAAGCACTTTGCAGCAGACTGTTGGGGAAACTCTGAGGTTTAAGAAAGGGGAGTAGACTGTAACTACAAGGATTTATGGTCTTGGCGCTCAGCCTGGTCTAACTAGGAAGTGTTTGAAGTAAGCAAGAAAGGCATATACTACTTAAATTTCATAGTTAAGATTGTTTAGGCCAGTGCTTTTCAACTCTGCTTTAGATTGGAGTCACTTAGAAGCTTTTAAAACATAAAAACACAGCAAAGCTGAGATCCTACCCTGGTATAGTTAAATCAGAGTCTCTGTGGGGAGGGGTATGGGATAGCATCAGTATTTTTAAAAAGTTTCCTACTGGTGATTCTAAAATATGTCCAGAGTTAAGAACCACTGGCATAAGCAGTGATTGATGATTAAAAATTATTAGTAAGGGACCTAAATTCTGCATATGTTTTCAAAAAGTTAATAATTAATATATACGTATTTATATATTAATACTTAAAAAATACTTAATTTAATACTTACACTTCATGGGTTTTTAGCATAGGAAGCTTTTTGTTTTTGTTTTTATTGTTGTAGAATGGTATACGCCAGTCAGTAGTTTGTGTTTATTGCAAACTGTAGCCATATTCTTAGAAGGATATAGCCATTGGAGTTTTAATCTTCAACTTAATGCTTATGAAGTAATGGCAAACATGATTGCTGAATTGATCAGGAAGAGTAACACTGGAGGTTTTTAAACTAAGCCTTGAAGAGGAGATAGAATTTAGATATGCAGAAGAGGTGGAGTGAAATGGGGGATAAGAATTGTAAATGCAGGAACAGAATGAACACCCAGGAGGAAGAGGTACAAGAAAATTTCAGAGAAGAGTACTACAGAGTCTGACCAGGGCTCAGTGGCAATGGAAAGGGCGGCCAAAGCCAGCTGTCTCTTGAGGGCCTATGAGAGCAGTCCAAGGAGACCACCTTTTCACCTGTAGCAGTTGAAAATGGCCATGCCCAGGCTCCCTTGGTCTCTAATCCTATGATGTGTGGAAGCTTGATTACAGATAATGTTTACTGAACACTAGCTATATGCCAGGCACTTTTCCTGAGCACTTCATGTGTATTAACTAATTTAATCCTCACAGCAACCCAGAGAGCTAGGTTCCATTTGATCCCTGGCTTACAAATGAGGAAATGTGTAGCCTGTAGGCTGTTTTGGGGATGTCTCTATATTTTCTCTGTATGGCTCTGGTCCAGAGTCCACATGATATATTTACTGGGCAGTGAATTATATAGTTAAAACAGAAATGTACAAGGTAGGCATAGGGTGAAGGTGTGTACTCGGAAATAAGGTCAACTAGGGATCAGAAAGTTAAGTATTTTGAACTCTTTTTCCCACAGATATGAGGAATTTACTGATATTTTTTGAGCAAGGAATGGGATGATGGAAAATTTTAGTACAGTAGGTCTGGAAAGAGGAGTAGGGTAGTTAAGGATAGGGGAGGGTGGGAGGTAAACATTAGGAAGCTAATGAAATAAACTAGAGATGACATGATAAAAAGCTAGGTCAGGGTGATGGTAGTAGTTATGGAGAGGGCACAGATGCCAAGTGCCCATTATGAAGGTCCTGGTGACCACAGAGTGAGCCTGGATGAGCCATGGGAGGTCAGGGGGAACAATCCCAATGAAGGGTAGGTGGTGAACTGAATCATTCCAGCCTGGGATGTGTTATTATATTTCATATCCTGACTTCACGTTTTAAATTTTATTTTGCATTCTTACCTATTTTTGATATGGATGGCAATATTTATCTGTATACTTTAATTTCACATTAACCCATTACCTAGTGAAAATAGGATATTGACATTACTATCTGTAATTAATATAGTGTTATTTTTATAATAATATGTACTATTATTAATAATATTATTACTTACTTTAGATTATCAGACCAGGATGAAGAGGGCAAGACCAAGCAGAAGTGTATCATATCTGACCCCTCCTTTTCCATGGTGACAGTTCAACGGGAAAATAGTGGAATAACCTGGGAGACCAATTCAAGCAGGTCTTCCACTCCTTGGGCCTCGGAAGAGAGTCAGACTTCTGGTGTGTGTAGTCTGGAAGGGTCAACTGTGAATTCTCCTCCAGGGAATGTTTCCTTTATTGTGGATGGAGTTAAAAAGGTTCGGAAAAGAACGCCCAAGTCAAAGCGTGGCTCACCATCACTGCGTCGGAAAGGCAACAAAAAGAGAAATTCTCTTGAATCTCAAGATGTTCCAGCAAACACAAAAGATAATCCTTTAATTTCAGAAAGCCAGGTATTAAGCACCCAGAAAGAGAAGTCATCTACTGGCATTTATGATAAAACGAGAAAAAAGACCACCTCAAATACACCTCCTATTACCGGGGCAATATACAAAGAACACAAGCCCTTAGTGTTAAGGCCAGTCTACATAGGAACAGTACAGTATAAAATTAAGATGTTTAATTCAGTTAAAGAAGAATTAATTCCTCTACAATTTTATGGAACATTGCCAAAGGGTTATGTAATTAAAGAAATACATTATAGGAAGGGGAAAGATGCATCCATTAGTCTAGAGCCAGATATGAGCAATCGTGATTCTAATATAGTTTCTCAAACAAGCAAATTAGTAGGCCAAAACATAGAAGATGATAAGGTAAAAGAGTTTGCTTCACCCTGGAAAGCTGCATCCTCTAAAGGATCAGAGTCCTTGACTTCCTCATTCAGTCGTGAAGATGAAAAGAAAATTTACGTTGATTCTCCACTAAAGGCCGCATCTGCCACCAAGCACACAGTTTCTTCTTATGCAAGTATTGACACAGCAGAACTAGAAATACAGCTCATCCCTCCACAGTTAGTGCCACGACAGCCAGGTGATGAAGCAAAACTCCATGAAATGGAGCCTTCCTCTCTTACACCTGATACATCTACAACTGGGTTCCTGGAAACAGCGAAAGAAGAATTTGAGCCTGATTCACAAGAAATGGTAACTTCAGTCTTACCACCATTAGTGGATGAGGTAAAGAAGGAAGATATGTATTCTGTTGACCATTCCATTTCATTGGAGGCAGAAAAGGATTCTCTGGAAACAGGTGCACCAGGTCTGGCAGCATCCATCGAGGAAGATTTTGGCCCAGAGACAACAGAGCTGGACCTGACTTCACCAGAAAGGGCAGAACCAGTCTCTAAACAACAACCCCCCCCTCCTTATCGTGATGTCAAAGGAATGGAGGAAGAAAACGTGCCTGAGCCATCCATTTCTCTTTCTGAACCTCTAGTGTTAGAGGAACCAAAGAAAGAAGAAGTTGAAACTTCTCTACCGATAACTGCTACCCCTGAACCTGAAGATTCTAATTTAGTGGAAGAAGAGATCATAGAACTTGAATACCCAGAGAGTCCATCTATTTCCAAGAAGCCCTTCTCACCATATTTGGCCACTGAAGTGGAGCAGAAAGAAGAGGAGATCCTTTTACCATCACTGAAAACATCCACACCTGAACATGTTGCTTCATCTGAGGAAGAAAGAGAGGAAAATGAGTCTGTTTCTACTGATTCTGCTTTTGTATCAGAGTATTCAGTCCCACAGGATTTGCACCATGAACTAGAGAAGCAAGAAGTTGAGCCAGTTTCTCCATCCACTGTAAAAGGTATATCTGAACATGCAATCTTTTCAGAAGAGGAGAATGAGGAATTTGAGCCTTTGGCCTCTGCATCTGAGTGCTCTCTGTCACCATCTACAACTGAGCAGACTTCTGAATGCCAGTCCCCTCAGTTTTCAGCAGCTTTCTCAGAACACGTGGTCCTGTCCGGAGAAGAAGCTTCAGAAAGTGGATGTTACACACCAGATTCCACATCTGCTTCTGAATATTCAACTCTATCCCAGGCAACGAAAGGGTCACCGATGAAAACAATTGACCTAAAGTCCCCATTAAAATCAAAAGATGTTTCTGAGCACACGATTTTGTCAGAAGAAAAGAAGGAAGACACTGGATTGTGTTCCCCAAATGTGGCCTCTGTCTCTGAATGCTCTCTCTCACCATCCACAGCTGAGCAGACTTCTGAATGCCAGGCCCCACTGTTTTCAACTGCTACATTGGAACAGGCAGTCATGTCAGAAGAAGAGGATCTAGGAAGTGAGGATTTCACAGCAGATTCAACATTGACTTCCCAAAATGCAGTTCCACCAAATGCAACACAGGAATCCCCAAAGGAAATAATTGATGATGTGTCCCCATTAAAATCGAAAGGTGTTTCTGAGCACATGATTTTGTCAGAACAAAAGAAGGAAGACACTGAATTGTGTTCCCCAAATGTGGCCTCTGTCTCTGAATGCGCTCTCCAGCCATCCGCAGCTGAGCAGACTTCTGAATGCCAGGCCCCGTCATTTGTAGCTACCCCATCTGAGCATATTGTCCTATCAGAAGAGACAGTAGAAATTGAGCGGTACACACCCGACTCCACCTCGACTTCTGAATTTTCAGTACCACCATACGCAACACCAGAATCACAGGAGGAAGAAATTGTCCACAGATCCCCTTTAAACCTAAAAGGTGCCTCCTCACCCACGAATTTCTCAGAAGAAGAGCAAGACATTGGACTTTTTTCTCCAGACTCAGCATTTGTGTCAGAATTCTCATTTTCACCCTATGCAACTCAGGAAACGGAGAAAAGAGAATTTGAATGTGATTCTCCAATATGTTTAACATCACCATCTGAGCACACTATTTTGTCAGATGAAGACACTGAGGAAGTTGAACTTTTTTCTCCAGACTCAGCATCACAAGTTTCAATCCCACCATATAGAATCCCAGAAACAAAGAAAAATGAATTTGAGCATGATTCACTGGTAACTGCAATATCTGCTTCTGGATATTCTGGCTCTTCAGAAGCAGATGAGGAAGACACTGTGCCAACAGCTGCCGCACCCATACCTGAGCACCTCGGTTCATCTCAGAAGCAACAAGCCAAACCTTCCCCTTCAATGTCTGCACCCAAAGACTTGAGTCTGCCATCTTCAACAAATGAAAGAGAGATCACAAAAGTTGAGCCAGATGCTCAAACAACCTCAGTGTCTGTATCTGAATATCTCATTTTGACACAGCAGCATATAACTCAAGCATTTCCAGAACCCGAGTCTGAAGACTTGATTTCACCATATTCAACCAATGAAACAGAGAAGGGAGAAATTCAGACTAGTTCACCAGTAGCTGCAACACCTGTTTCTTTACCTGCACAATCATTTACAGTAAGGGAAGACACCAAACCAGTTTTGCATTCATCTCAATATTCAGTTTCACCTGATTCAGTCCATGCACTTCAGAAAGAACAAGAAGCCAAAGCATCACTCACTCCAAAAGCTGCAAATGAACAGATGGCTTTGTTAAAAGTTAAAAGTAAGGAAGAAATTGTGCCTGATTCTCAAGAAGCTACAGCACATGTATCCCGGGATCAAGAAATGGAGCTTCAACCTCCAAATGTTCTAGGGTCTGGGATGAAATATTCAGTTCTGCCTGACTTGGTAGATGAGCCAAAGAAGGAAGTGAAACCCAATTTAGCTCCCACTGTGACATCTGAACTAGAACAGAGAATGTTGTCAGAGAATGAGCCTGAGGTAATAAAACCATATTCACCTCTAAAGGACACGTCTTTATCTGGACCTGAGATTTTATCTGCAGTAAAAATGCAAGTGAAACACGACTCTAAAACAGCTGATACATCTAGAGTGTTGCATTCAGCTCCACCAGGAGTGCAAGAGGAAGCTGAACATGGACCACCCGCACCAGAATTTTTGGAAGAAATAAAGAAAGAAATTGAACCCAGTTGTTCAATAACCACATCTGTAACTAAGCATGATTCAAGCTTACCCAAGTTAGGAAAAGAAGAAACCCCAACAGATTTATCTTTTACCACCCCTATAGAACATCCAGTCTTAACAAAAATAGAAAAGAGTGAATTAAGAAGTGGTTTGCCACCACTGGTGACATCTATAGATGAGCATTCACTTCTTCAAGAAGAAAAGGTAGCAAGGAAAATGAGTTCTTCTCCCACTGTAACTGCGGCATCTGAACATCCAGCTTGGTCAGAAGCAGAGAAAGAAATTAAATTTGATTCACCTGCAAGAATATCCTCTCTATCAGATCATTCTTTGTCCAAGGTAGAAACTGAAGAATTTAAACCTGGGTTGCCAATAACCAAAGCATCATCTTCTCAGCTTTCAGATGTATCTAAGGAAGAGAGGGTGGAAGATGAACAAGGTCTTTCATTTTCTACAGTCCTTGACTCTGAACAACTGGTTTTATCACAGAAAAAGAATTCTGTGTCTGCCTCAGAGGTGTCAGGGCCTGAACATGTGCTTTTGCTCAACCAAGGTGGTGAGGTGAAGAAAAAAGAAACTGAACTTGCTTCTTCGCAAGACATGTCACCCACACCCAAACATATAGTTCTGAAAGACAAAAATGAGGAAATGGAAAGTTCTTCTCCTGAGTTGGAAAATTTAGTGTCAGCAGACTTAACTTTGACCCCCAGAGATAATAAGAACAAACAGACACTGGAGCCATCTTCTACAGCTCAGGGAGATTTCCTGTCAGAAAGACAAGATCTTGCTCTGGCGGAGCTTTCTTTGGAACTTGAAAAGAAAGACAAGCCACACCAAGTATCAGAATTACCAAGCACTGAGTCAGAATTCACTTATAGTTTAGGTGGGCAAGATGGATCCGTAGATACAAAACAAATAAAATCTCCCATAACCGAAACAGAGGATTCTGTCTTAGAAAAGGGCCTTGCCGAGCTTAGGAGCAGAAGAGAAGGAAAAGAAGAAAACAGGGAACATCATGTGTCAACTACAGTTGACCCTGAAATTTCAGAGGTTTCATCATGCCTAAGGAAGGAACCTCAGATTCAAGAAATTAAATCTTTCTCCCCCAAGGTAGTCAGCTTAGGGTCAAAAGAAGCATTGACCCCTCTAGTTGAAGGAGACAGCCCCAAAGAACCTCAACCACATACCTTTTCTTTAAAAGGATTATCAGAGAAGTTGAACCATTCAGCTGACATTAAAACGGGAGAGAAACAAGAAATAAGCCCATTACTGTCAACAGGAAATTTGAAGACACAAGTGATAGGATATATTGAAACAAAACTAAATGAAGAAACAGACCAACCAAATTCATTCTGTGTGCCCCAGAGTGTAACAGAACCATCAAAGATTGTTTCTTCTGACCTTGTGGAACAAGAGAAGCCTAGAAAAGCACTTCATTCAGATCAAGGTGTTAAATTACCTGATGTAAGCATGTCTTTTGCAGATAAGCAAGATCTAGGTGTTAAACAATTTTTATTTATGAAAGAGAATTTGCCTTTGGAAGAATCAAAATCATTTATCACAATTGAGCCTGCAGATGTTAAAGAAACACAAATGCAAGAGGCCCTTTTTGTTCCAAAGGATGAAAGCTGGATGCTGGAAAAGCCAGAAAGGGATCTGGCAAGTCAACATGAAGAAAGAATACCGGGATCTGTGGAGCTGGGTTCCTCTGGCAGTAATGATTTGATGACAGGGCAGCTCAAGGCCGCTCTGCTGGATAAAGACCATACATGTGAAACCAGAAAGCAGCCTCTGCCACATTCTGCTGAAGAATCTCCTTTATCATTACGAGAGCCAGTATCTACTCTCAATACCTCCAGTGGTGAGGTAGAGACCTTATCAACTAAAACTTACTCTTCTGAAGAAATAAAGCTGGCTCCCAAACCAAAATCTTTCACTCCAACTAGAAATGTAGAGAGAAATGAAGCAGAGGGGAAGCAGATCTTCTCTTTTGTGGGGAATGGAAGTTTGATACTGGAGAAAACAAACACAGAATTTTCCAGGCCTTGCAAAGAAGGCAGCCAGGAAGAAATCAAACTACCTTCTGAAAGAATCCACCAAAAACCAGTGTCTGACCCATCAAGGGAACAGATCAAATCAGAAATTATTCCCTCTCCCACCAAAGCAGCCCATTTCCTGGCAGAAGATTCAGAACCTGCCTTGGGCAATGAAAAAGAAGCACACAGGAGTGTATCTCCTTTAGCTGGAGAGAAGTCATTAGAAGAAGCAAAAATGATTCAGTCAAAGGTCGTGGATGATGTTAATGAGAGAGGGAAGCCAGCATCTGAAGTGAAAATAAAAATACCCACACCAATAAAACCCCTCTCCTCAAGGCAAGAAAATGAAGAACCCCAACCCGCAGAGCCACCTGAGGTGACACAAAAGTTGCCTAAGAAGCCAGAGGCAGTTGAGCGAGGCCTTTCTGAGGAGAAGGGGAAGAAAGGAATTTTATCTTTCACATCATGGATGTCCAGTTTGTTTTTTGGCTCAAGCACTCCAGATAAGAAAGTTGCTGAAAAAGATTTAGAAACTCAGCCAAGTCCATCTGCAGAAAAAGCAGTGCCTTTGACAGAGTCTGAAGGAACAGCTTCAGCTGACTCTAATGCAACCGAGAAACCAGCTGATCGTCTGTTACCAGAGGCAAAACTTAAAATTGCTGAAAAATCCAGAGGCACTTTAGTTAAATCTGGTGAAGGCCAAGACTTTGAAGAAAAACCCACATCTTTATCAAATGTAGCAATTTTACAACAGCCAAAATCCAACTTTGAGGTGTCTAGTGAAGATTATGGGAAAAAAGAAATTCTAGACTATTCAGAGGAAATGGACCTAAACTCGGTAGTTTCTTCTGCGGATGGTGAGGAACATCTTGAAATTCAATCTCATTCTCCCATGGGTGAGAAATCCATTGTGGGAGAAGTGCAAAATGCGGTTCCTCTTCATATCACTGATAGTAAAAGAGCCCAGAAGCCAGAAATTTCTGATCCATCTAAATGGAATATTTCTATTCTTAAGAAAGAGCCAAGAAGTGATCAAAAAGAAAAATCACTCTTTTCATTTGATGCAGTAGATAAGGTGCCACAACAGCCAAAATCAGCTTCATCTAGCTTCACAAGTAAAAATATCACGAAGGAATCGGAGAAGCCAGAGACAATAATTTTGCCAGTAGAAGAATCTAAATGCAGCTTAATTGATCTGGGTGAAGAGAGACCGAAGAAAGAAATGCTAAAACCTACCTCCTTGAAAACTTCTGCAGAGGAAACAAAACTCGGGTCTGTTAGCCCAACTGAGGAGAAAGGTGACTTGGAGACCAGATCATATTCCGTGGCAGAAAACAAGGTGCTGGCAGAAAAGCCAGAAACTGTGGCCCCATTAGAACTTCGAGATAATGACATAGGGAGGGCACAAATTGCACATGGATCTAGCCCTATTAAATTGGAAGAATCAAGAGCTGCAACCGTGCTGCAGCAAGTCTCCCAAAATGAAGACCGCAAAGAAGGACGCACAATAATGAAGCAGGAGAAAGAAGAAAAACAAAAGCTGTCACAAGTATTTTCAGGAGGAAAGCAGCAGCAGGAAATTCAGCCTTATTCTGTGAATGTAGTCAGGTCTATGCCTGAAGAATCAGGTATCTCCTTAAGTCCTCCTTTGGATGAAACACAGCCATTTTCATTAGTTAAAACCATATCAGTTACTGAAAAATCAGAAACTCTGCTCTTGGAGGGCCACCCAGAAATCAGGGAAACAAGGGCAGTAGGAACTCAACCACATCCAAGAGAAGAAAGTAAAGTTTTGGTAGAGAAAATCAAGACGTTCCTTCCAGAGGATCTTCCTTATCATGATGAAAGAGATAACTACTCTTTACCTAAGGAAGGCAATCTGATATTGGAAAAGTCAAGCAGGGATATGGCAAGTCACAATGAAGAAAAGGGACAGATCACAGCGGCAGAGCCATTGAAAGATGGTTCAATAGATATCACAAAAGAAAGTATGAAACAAGGATCTCCATCTAAAGAATCTGAAAGGATTTTAGATCATCGTTTTGATGAAACAAAGAGCTTAGAAACCCCACCATATTTGTTGTCATCTGCAAAATCACAAACACTTGTTTCAGGAACTTCTCCAGAAATTAATACAGTGGAGAAACAAGAAATGCTGGGGTCAGATTTGACTCCAGATAGGCATACAGTCCATACTATCCAAACTTCTGAAGATCTAACATCTGAAATGTCTAAGCAATCGGTTCTTGCTTCAGAGCAGCATATGGAGGCTGTGGAAGATGCCCACATATCTTCAGCAAGTAGCAACTATGCTCAGTTTATAAAGAATGCATCAGCAATCAATGCTGGTAGAAGGGTTCCTGCTAGAGAAAGATCCAAGGAGCCTGAAGACACATATGTGGAAGATGAAGACTTCACAGTGACTAGTAAGCCAGCTGGACTTTCAGAAGATCAAAAGAGTGCCTTCAGTATTATTTCTGAAGGCTGCGAGATATTGAATATTCATGCTTCTGCATTTATTTCTTCAGTTGATCAGGAAGAAAGTGAACAAATGCAAGATAAGCTAGAATATTTGGAAGAGAAGGCTTCATTTAAAATTATATCCCTTCATGACAGTAGTGAGGCCGTTTCTTGCCATAAAACATTAAAGAGTAAGTTAGAAGATTCTGATCAAGTTACATCACTGCAAGACAATAAACAAAAGGAATCTCTTAACATAAAACGGGAGGTAGCCACAGATTCAGAAACTGATGATTTCAACTTTAATCAGCCCACAGCTCCCAGTGAAGAAGATTATTTTGAAAAATATACATTGATTGATTATAACATCTCCCCAGCCCCAGAAAAACAAAAAGCTCCATGGAAATTAAATGTTGAGGGGGAACTCCCAAAGGAAGTTACAGAAGATACTGTCTCTTTCCCAGAAAGTTCAGAGGAAAGTGCCTTGGAATATGACTTGGTGAAGTTAGATGAAAGCTTCTATGGGATGGAGAAGGACTACAGCAAATTATCTCACCCAGAGACCCAGAAGCCTTTGGATATCCAGCCATCAGCTGACAGAGATGCCTCAAAGAGCATAAATAGAGAGGTGGACTTAAAGTCACCGGGGATGCCTTTATTTGGTGCAGAGGAAGGAGTTTTGTCACGGACCCAGATCTTTCCTACCACCACTAAAGCCATTAATCCCGAACTTCTGGAGGAGCCACCTGCATTTGCATTTTTATACAAGGATCTGTATGAAGAAGCAGTTGGAGAGAAAAAGAAGGAAGGGGAGACAGCTTCTGAAGGTGACAGTGTGAATTCTGAGGCATCGTTTCCAAGCAGGAATTCTGACACCGATGATGGAACAGGAATATATTTTGAGAAGTACATACTCAAAGATGACATTCTCCATGACACATCTGTATCTCAAAAGGACCAAGGCCAAGGTCTGGAAGAAAAAGCAGTTGGTAAGGATGATTCATACCAACTGATAGCTGCAGAAGGGGAAATTTGGGGGAGGTTTGGAACTATTTTGGGGGAGAAGAGTCTGGAAGAGGAACAGAAAGCTACTTACAGGGAAGGAGACTCAGTATGCCATGTGGAGACCCTTGACAAGGAAGCTATGCAGGGGGAAGCTCCCATCACTGAGGAAGTCACAGTGGTTACCCAGAAGGTAAGCTATGCGGTTCCATTTGAAGACACCCATCATGTCCTGGAGAGAGCGGATGAAACGAGCAGTCAGAGTAATGAAGCAGCAAGTGCAAGTCCAGAAGTCAACCTGAACATCCCAGTACAAGTGTCCTTCCCAGAGGAAGAACTTGCATCTGGCGTAACTTGTGTTCAAGAAACACTGCAAGAAGAACCTAAAATAATGATCCCACCTGAGCCAGGTGAAGACAGACTCTGCAGTAGCCCTGTTCAGGATGAGTATGAATTTGCCGAATCCCTGAATTATGAAATGGTTGCTCAAGACACTTTATCAGAGGAACTGTATTCAGAATCCACGCCTGAAGATGTGTTATCTCAAGGAAAGGAATCCTTTGAACACGTCAGTGAAAATGAATTTGTGAGTGAGGTAGAACAAAGTATGTCTGCCAGACAGAAGGAGTTGGGCAGAGAGAAGACAGAACAAGAACAATTGTCATCAGAGTCAGCAACTGAGAAGGAACAGAGGGAACCAAAAAAGTCCCAGATCGACACATACTGTTACACTTGCAGAAGCCCAATTTCTGCTGTTGACCAGATGTTTGGCATGCACAAGGACCATGAGGTTGCAACACTTGATACAGCGATAAGTGCTGTAAAGGTAAAAAAGATTTTAAAGCATATAAGTACATAATAATAATACATTTAATTTCTTTTCATATTTCCTCAATTTAAAAAAATGACCAATATTTGATATCTTCATATTTAGGGATAATAGTCTGAAAGAAAGCTAAGAATTCTTCCCTAGGCATTCAGTTAAGATCAATTTGACAAATGTTTATTGGGTATACACTATGTGCAAGGCATTTTTCTAGGTTCTGGCAATAACAGTATAAATAACACAAGGTCACAACCTTTGAGGGGTTTTATCTTATGGTGGTAGCCCTTAACATTATCCAAAAAAGCCAAATAATTTAATTTTTATTTTTTTTATTTTTTAAAGATTTTATTTATTTATCTGAGGGAGAAAGAGAATGAGAGAGAGAGAGAGAGAGCACAAGTGGCGGGGTTAAGGGGGAGGCAGAGGGAGAGGGGGAAGCAGGCTCCCCACTGAGCAGGGAGCCCGATGTGGGGCTCGATCCCAGGATCCTGAGATCATGCCCTGACCTGAAGGCAGCCAGGCAACCAAGCCAAATAATATTAAATAGAAAAATATGCTTTTGAGCATAAAACACAATTTATTTTCTACTATCTACACTATCATTCTTTAGAAATACACATTTATATTACACTGAGCAATTTTATTGCAAGTTTTATAAAATATTCAATACAGTCATTTTAAATTTTGGTTTTCTCCATATTTCCTTTGTGTATAAAATTGATATTAAAAATGGAAAACTTTTGCATTCTTTCTAGTCTATAGACTTCCAATGTTAAAATGTTAAAAAGTTAGTCACAACAATATCCTTATGCATATTATTATAAATACTCTACTTCCCCAGAGGTACTACTATAAGTAAAGCATTTAGTCTTTGAGATTCTCATGTACTTTTAGTAGCCTACTAACTGGAATTCCCACCCTTCTCTCTTCAAGCCATCCTCTAATACATTAGCCAGAATGACCTTAAAATGCAAGTATTCACAAGAACTGAGCACCTACTATGTGCCAGGCACTGTGTTAAGTTCTTTATATATAAGATATCTTTTACTCCTCATAACAAGCCTGTCATCATCACCAATTTGCAGATAATGAAATTGGTGCAGATAGGTTAAGTGATTTGCCCAAGGTCATGGAAGACAGACTACGATTGGTACCCGGGTCTGTCTGATGCCAGAGCTCATGCTCTTGACTGTATATCCTTATTGCTTGGCCCAGTGCCTTGCTAATGGTGCAGTTTGCAATATGATTATTCAATTAGGTCACTGTTAAATAATTGTTAGGCTCATTTTGATTTTAAAAAAATGACAGAATGTTGGCATTTTTTTCCCCAGAAAATTAAAACTTCTCAATTATCTAACATTGGTTCTGTTTCTCCAGGATGAAATTTTGTTGAAACTTTACCTGGTAAAGTTTGGGGGTAGAAGATGGAGCAATTTTTTTTTTTTAAATGAACTCTCAGGCTTCTGGATGCTTTAGCACTGGTGAAATGTGCCCTATTTTGTGATGACAGTTGGTTTTGTTAACTGACAACTACTGGGCACTGTCAGCAGAAAGAAGACTAGATTTTTTTCAGCTTTCTTAATTACGTTTTATTCATCTCTGAGTTTAAGAAATTAAAAAATAATTCTGTCTAAATATTATCAATTTAAAACAAATTTCAAAAGCAAGGAGATATGTCTCCTGATTTAAAACCATTTTAAAGTATTTTCCCCCTGACCTTCTCTAAACAGTATGACCAAAAAAAAGGAAAACTAGTTCACTAAAGCCAAAGAGACCTGCTTTGTTTCGCTAAATCAACTGTGAAGAGTAAGAGTTGGTTGGCAAACTTATAAAAATTAGAGATCAATTTCAAAAGTTATAACTTGAGAATTCTCTAGCATCTTGTGAGCAGGCCATTTGTGATTGTTCAGGAATTGGTAGCTACGTTTATAGATCACCCAGGTCCTTACTTCTCCTCCCCTGCCATTCCCACTGTGGTGGCTTATTTTTTGTTACTTAGCTTCTTCCTTTACTCTGTCCTTTCTTAGCCTTTATTGACCTCCCATTCCATGTGCTAATCATTGGGAATGAAAACAAAAAGAAAGGAAAGTGTACAGCATTGTGGGAGCACAGTGTTCTGAGAAAGGAACCTTTTGGGAGCGAGCGAAGTGGTGGAGTAGGAGTGGGAGGGTTAGGGAAGTTGAAGCTTGGGTGACCTTCAGTAAGATAGAGTTTTTCCAGCAATCAAGGGCATGGAGGACATTCTAAAGATAGGGAATACCACATGAAAAAGCTCATGGGTGAGAAAGAGTTCAAGGAAAGATGGGGCTTGTGGAGAACAGGCAAGGGCTGTAGAGGGAAGCTGACCCCAGGATCCTGAAGGGGCTTCCATCCATGTAATTTCTCCATCATTCTGTGGATGGTGAACCAGGCAGCTGAAACTTTGTTATTTATGTTGTTTCTTCTTAAGGTGTAGCGGGATGGATTACAGGTGGGTTTATAACTACGGCTAAGATAGCTATCATCTTCCCCTATCATCCATACATTTTCTAGTTGGCTGTCGCTTCTTGAGTGTTTTAACCCTTTGAGGGTTACTAGAACCTTTAGGTCTTTGTAGACAGTTTTCATCATTTGGTATGCTAAACTTCTGGCCTGGTGACATTCTGATCACCTTCTCGGGGTCAGGTGATCCAGGCCCATCTGAAGCCATTGGTACAACTATGAGGAGACCATTTGGATATGTAGGACCAGCAAAAAGTCTGCAATCTTAGAAAACAATATATAAACATTGAGGCTTTACTAAGGAGAAAGAATTCAAATCCATAGCTTACTAAAACAATATGCTTTGAACTCATCTATTCAATAAGAAGTCTTTCCTCTTGCATGAGAAAATAAACTTTCTATTGCTCTCACTCATAAACCTCCTAATTGTTCTCACTCACAAACCTCCTAATTGTTTTCATACAGAATTATCTACAGTCAGGTTAGATAAAGCAGCAAAGAAAATTTAAAGATTGATTTGTAAGTAAACATGATATAGTAAATCTCTACCAAATATACTAAATTTATAAGGAAATTAGAGCTCACTGCTTGAAGTTCTTTTCCCAGATGTCATATGCTAAGCACATCTTAATTTTTTTCTTCAGGTCCAATTAGCAGAATTTCTTGACAATTTACAAGAAAAGTCCTTGAGGATTGAAGCCTTTGTTAGTGAGATAGAATCTTTTTTTAATACCATTGAGGTAAGTTACCATATCCCTTTTACTTTGACTTGGTTTGTTCGTGTCATCACAAGGAAATGATTCTGAGACAGAACAATCTGAATTAGGGATTGTGTGTACATATGTGGTTTGCCATTGTTGGTTTTGTTCCATTAAAAATGAAGGTCTTTAAAGTCTTCCATCTGTGTGTCATCAGTGAAACCACTGCCTTTCTTTTTTTATTAATTTTTTATTGTTATATTAATCACCATACATTACATCATTAGTTTTAGATGAAGTGTTCCATGATTCATTGTTTGTGCATAACACCCGGTGCTCCATGCAGGAAACTACTTCCTTTCTAAGGATAAATGACTTGCCCTTAAAAAGATATATGCATTTTTTGGGTGCTTCCTATGATAGGGCAAATGCTTTGCATGATTTATCCAATTTAATCCTTACAGTGACCATACAAGACAAGACAATTTTTTAAATTTTTTTTTTAAAAGATGTTATTTATTTATTTGACAGAGACAGACACAGCCAGAGAGGGAAAACAAGCAGGGGGAGTGGGAGAGGGAGAAGCGGGCTTCCCGTGGAGCAGGGAGCCCGATGCAGGGCTGGATCCCAGGACCCTGGGATCATGACCTGAGCCGAAGGCAGACACTTAATGACTGAGCCACCCAGGCGCCCCCACAAGACAAGTGTTATTAATATCGTTCCTATTTCATAGATAAGAAACTGAGAGTTAAGTATATTACCCAAGGTCATAGTAAGTTGATAGTAAGTTGAGAGCCAAAATTTGAATTGATCTGAATTCTTATTTGCTCCACCATCCTGTCCTTTACCGACTAGCTCTGCAGAAATGCTCAAAGCCACTGCCAAGTGTCCCATGCCCAGGACAAATGAGTGTCTCTCATGGTACCACTGCCTTCGATGAGTTCATGCCCTCCTAGCTGCTGGCCCCTGCTCCCTCCACAGTGAAGGGAGGTGGGGGGCAGTGCTCCAACCATATGCAGAGATGGCCCAGGCATCCTCACTTGGTCAATCAGGGGTGGCAGAGGGGGCCCCGGCAGAAGGCTGGTGCGCAGTTTCCCTATCACTAGGGCAACTCCGTGTCCTAGTTTGCTTGAGAGGGGTCTGCTCAACTCCTGTTGTAGGTCAGTGAACACCTGCTAATTATTTCTAGTATCCCCCACCAAATACCTGTTTGAGTGAGAATGGTGAGACATCTGGATTTGTCCGGGTGGGCAGTACAGTTTCTCCTCCTGTGGTAGAAACTGCCCTTCCCTGGAAAGCTTGTGGATGCAGCATCCTGTCCAGCATCCTGCTGCTCCGTTCCTCACTCTGTGATTTTCATGGAGTGGCGAAATGGCCTGAAACCCTCTCCACCACCTGAAGGCCAGGGACCTTCATTCACTGTGATGCCATTTTCAAGTTTTATCCTGTGTGAATGTAAGTGGGCAAGTCTTCCACACAAATCTCTCTTTTTGTGTGTGTTTCCTTAACTAAATCCTTCCTGATAATAATACTCTTACAGCAAACTTTACTGCAAAGCTAACTATGGCCAAGAGGGTTGGTGGGTTGGAAACTTAGACTGTGCCCATAGTCTATGATTCTCTTATCAGGACGCCAGAGGTCAATTATTTGAAAGGCTGGTGTTTCTCTTAAGAGAAAAGAAAAGAAAAAAAGACATGAAAACAAGACTTCTTGTTTCATTCGGACTTGAGGGTTTTTTTTTTTCTGGCTTTGTTTTATTTATATTTTAGGAAAACTGTAGTAAAAACGAGAAAAAGCTAGAAGAACAGAATGAGGAGATGATGAAGAAGGTTTTAGCACAGTATGACGAGAAGGCCCAGAGCTTTGAGGAAGTGAAGAAGAGGAAGATGGAGTTCCTGCATGACCAGATGGTCCACTTTCTGCAGAGCATGGACACAGCCAAGGACACCTTGGAGAGCATCATGAGAGAAGCGGAGGAGCTCGACGAGACCGTTTTCCTGACTGTAAGCACCAGTTCAAATGGGCCCAGACACTCTGCATCTGCTATCCTTACCCAAGTCTACTTTTAGAATTCACCTTTCAGTATTCCCCAAGATCATTTTTTTTTAAAGATTTTTTTATTTATTTGACAGAGAGAGAAACAGCAAGAGAGGGAACACAAGCAGGGGGGGTGGGAGAGGGAGAAGCAGGCCTCCTGCTGAGCAGGGAGCCCGATGCGGGCCTCGATCCCAGGACCCTGGGATCATGACCTGAGCCGAAGGCAGACGCTTAACGACTGAGCCACCCAGGCGCCCCTTCCCCAAGATCATTTATAGTTCTGTGCAGGGTTTATATAATTCTGATACTTAAAAATGATTAGGGCATGCCTGATACCTATGGGAAAGGCCCAGAAAAATCCTTAAAGTCTTTTTTAAAAAAAGATTTTATTTATTTGTCAGAAAGAGAGAGTGAGCACAAGCAGTGGGGGAGCAGCAGGCCGAGGGAGAAGCAGACTCCCCCGTGAGCAGGGAGCCCCATGAGGGACTCGATCCCAGGACCCTAGGTCATGACCTGAGCTGCAGGCAGACACCTAACTGAATGAGCCACCCAGGCGCCCCAAATTCTTAAAGTCTTAACAGACAGATCTAGCTGAAGGACACATGCAAGTCAGGTCACAGCATCATCCATTCACTCTGTCACGTAGATTGGTCACCTTCTAAGACGGAAGGAAAGCAGCCTGAAAACCTTACTCATGCCGTGCTTTCCCTTTGGGTACCAGCCTGATCTCCCAGTGCCAGGCGTCCTCAGGCTGGCCTCGGGGCCCGTCCTCTCCACCCCTACTCCCTCATCTGAAGTGACTTCTCAGAGGGACCTTTCCCTCTGGGCTTCAGCAGGTGGCTGAGGGTAACATTCTAGTACACTTGCAGCATGCGAAAGAATGACATAATGTGATGCCTCTTTCAGGTAGCACGTGGATGTTTTTGTAAGAGTCTTCCTGGGGACCAGATTCCCTAATTCAGACAAATACCTTGTGGACTGAGATTCCCCTGGGTGATCCTCAGATTGCACCACAGAGGCAGCTCTTTGCTCTCCTAATTCCCTAGAACATTCAGTAAGATACTGGTTCTCCATGGAACCAGGATTAACCAGAAGTGGTGTAGGCCGATCCCACACCTAATTGTCAAACTGGAGGAAAGCACCATCTTATGATGAGCAGGGACCTCCCTTTCAAAGTTCCCCAGTACTCCCAGCTCTCTAGTAAAGTCTGGAGATAGAGCAAGGCAAAATGGAATAATGTTAGGCTTTTGATTTGTGCATACTTCCAGCCAGAACAAATCTGAGTGAGATGGACATGACATCCTCAAGAGAGAATGAAAATCATTCAGTTGCTTTATGTTTAAGGCAAGGCTTTGGTCTTTTAAAATTAGGCACCTCTTGGGGTGCCTGGGTATCTCAGTCGTTAGGCAGTCCTCTGCCTTCGGCTCAGGTCATGATCCCAGGGTTTTGGGATGGAGTCCCACATCCGCTCCTTGCTCAACAGGGAGCCTGCTTCTGCCACTCCCCCTGCTCCTTCTCTCTCTCTGTGTCAAATAAATAAATAAAATCTTGGGACGCCTGGGTGGCTCAGTTGTTAAGCGTCTGCCTTTGGCTCAGGTCATGATCCCAGGGTCCTGGGACCAAGCCCTGCCATCAGGCTCCCTGCTCTGCGGGAAGCCTGCTTCTCCCTCTCCCACTCCCCCTGCTTGTGTTCCCTCTCTCGCTCACTGTGTCTCTGTCAAATAAATAAATAAAACCTTAAAAAAAAATAAGGCACCTCTTGTGAAGTATAACATTAATGAGGTTCTTTGTGTTCCCTAAGAACCTTGCCTTTGTTTGATAAGAATATTTTCTCTCTAGGACCAATTGTAAAAAAGAAAGCATTTTTTTTTTCTGCTTAGAAAAGTAATATGTATCCATTTTAGAAAATTTGGAAGATACAGAAGAGCACAGAGAAGGTGTCACCCAGAGATAACTACTGATTACATTTTAGGTATTTACCCCACATTGAACAAATTCAAGTCCTTTTTCTTGCTTTGGAGAATTCTATTCTGGAAGCTAAGCTGCTTGTTAATGAGTAGAGAGGAGCAGCATAAGAATTCATGGCTGGCTTTGCTTATCATAGAGAGTAGAGCAGAACTGGAAACTAAAGCGCCCTCCATTCCTGCCGAGTCCCCCTACCCCTTCTGAGCACTGATTTCCTTCCAGAAAGGGGCTGTAGCCTTCCAGAAAGAAACAGCCTCAGGGAAGCTAAAAAGTTACCTTTAGAACATGCATAATCTTAACACTCTTAGTTGGTTTTTCTTTTTGTTGTTAATTAGTCTCTCTCTTTCTCTCTCTCCCTCTCTCTTTCTCTCCCCTTTTCATTCCCTCATAAGTCATTTGAGGATATCAATGAAAGGTATATAAAACATGGCACAATGTAGTGGCGACTGAGAATAGCATGACTGTATGCTTTATTTTTAATATTTTGATGCTTTCTAGAAAATGAGCTGCCAATTAAAAAATACATACATTTACTGAGCTACTGAATTTTCACTTTTAGACACTGTGCTTTTAAAAGCTAAACAACAGCTTTGAAAGAAAATTGCATGTGCTTTAGTTAAATAACAATTATCATAATGTAGATTTTTAACTGCTTCCTTTAGATGTGTTCTGTATTTTCAGCCTAATCTGGACCATCTTTCTTGTCATTGCATACAGAATACTGCGTAGATACTTAGACTTATTGGTTAAATATGAGCATTTGAAAGAATCATTCATTTTTGCTTTGAGTAATTTTATGACTTATGTAATCTTAATGGAATGTTCTCTCATTTTCTCTTCAAAAGATAGGCATGCATTTATCTTTCTGCTCAGCTAATCTAAATGAATCTTCCTCTTTTGATTATGTTTTGTCTTTGTTGCTGTTGTTAACACTCAATCTAAGGGAAATTTGTCATTATCTTAAAAGGCAAAACACTCAACAAGAAACTAGGAAATGTCTGTAAAAACACATACCATCAGATCTATATTTATCTTTTGGAGCATGTGATATATTTTTTTTTATTTTTATTTTTTGGAGCATATGATATTGAACTGCTCATACTGATCTGATACATTTTCCCTTTTGCCTCAGGGCAAGACCTGAGGTCCTTCCTACCAGTTGAGCCTAATGTTCTTATCATTTTTACCCCTTTCATGTAAAATTTTAAAACTGTATATTGTAAAATTATAAAATTGTGAGTTTACTTCAATGCCACATTGCGAGAGAGCATAAAGCAAAATGAAAAATTTGTATTTGTGATATACTAATATATAGAAACCTGATTTTTTTAGATAATGAAAACTGCACAGATAAATCCTGTTTACCTTTAAAAACAATCTATTCAACAGAATATTGCTAATAAGTTTTAAGAAAAAAACTTGTTTAATATTGACATTAATCAATAAAGTTTTATTACAGTGGCTCTCTTATAGATCAGTTACCCAGGGAGCTTTAAAAAGTGCTGACATCTGAGTCTTACCTCTTGAGATTCTGGTTTAATTGGTCTGGGGGATGGCCTAGGCATCCTTAAAGCTTCTGAGGTGATTTTAATGGGCAGACAGGGTTGAGAACCTCTGGTTTCTAACGGTCTATCCTTTGGCTCAATTGTTCCTCATACTGGCTGCACCTGAATTACCAGTGGGGTTGGTTAAGCCAAAGTCCCTGGAGCCTCACCCCAGGTCCACCAGAGGGGACCACAAGGTGGGACCAGGGCTCTGCATGTTTACCAGTCCTCATGCAGGAGTCTGAGGCACACGAGGCAGGCCCGGAAACTCAGACCCAGGCTTTGCCCCCAGTTTTCTTTATTTTTTAAAAATTATACATTCCTTTAGGTATTACTGATTTGTATTTTCATCTAAAAAGTATATGGATTCATAGTGCCATTTCATATATATTGGACAGTGTAGATGCATTATTTGCTTATTTGTACTTCATCTACTCATGGAATGTACTGATTGATTGGCAGGAAAATTTGGCGAATAGAAAATTGCACGTGCTTTTATCTTAAAAAACGCTGTAGCACATTTTTATTTTTCTGCACCTTAGAGTATTAACTTGCTAATATGAATTGGCATTCATTTAATTCTAAATACCATTTCTTTGGTTTCATGCTTGAACTTGTTCATCTGTGTGTCATTTTAATTCATTATTATTTCATTGTCCAGTTGACAATGAATTAATCTCTGCTAAAGCTGCATGCCACCTAAAGGAGAGTACACTTGGGATAATCATTATTTCCCTGTGAAGAAAAAAGATAGCAAAATTTGGGATTTGGGATTTAATGGAAGCCCTGTTAGACATGCGTGCGTGTGCGTGCGTGGACACACACACGCACAAACACACACACATGGCGAAGCTTGATTGTTTCACCAAAAAGAAGGCTTTTATGTCCTCAAGACAACTTCTGCCTCACAGTCTCAATTTTGTTGGTGTTCCTTTCCATGAGAAGAGCTTATTATCTAGTTGGGGTTTTTTTTTTTTTACCTTGTTTCTTTTTCCTCCCTTCATATTATATCTCTAAAGGCAGTGCTGGTCTATTAAATGATTTTTCTCAACACTGAAAATGCTTAAATTAAGGAATGCTGTCAAGCATATGTAGACTCAATATTTGCATATTTTGAAAAACACATTTGCTTAGAAAATGCTGGGCTGTTAAGAAGGTGCATTTTTTTTCTCATGTTATAATAATGAAAAAGAAGGAGAGTTCCAACCATTATAGGACCTGCTTTTAAAAAGATGTTCCCTTGCCCTTTCATACACTGATGTTAAAATTGAGCAGATTAGTACATAAGGGAAAACTCAAGCATTTTATTTGTGGTATCTACAATCAGAACTTTTGTGTTTCAGAAAGTCTCCCATCTAGTCAGTGATGTGCATTGACTAGGCTTAGTATATGTACCAGTCAGCATTGTTCATTAATTCAGAATCTATCATCTCCACCCTCTGAGCCCCCACCAAAGCCTTCATTTAGGTGTGGTGTCTTCCCTCACCTAGAGCATTGTGGGCTTCTCCCAACCGATCTCACTACGCCTCTGGTCTGCATAGTTGCTCTGATCCTTTCTCAGACTCCTGCCAGGATATTCTCACCTTGTGAAGACACTTCTGTGGCTCTCCTTGCCTTACAAGATAAAATGGAAATGCTTGGTGGACATGAAAGGCTCTTCACAGTCAAGCCACAAACCTCCTTTTCATTTGTTCTCTATCTTCATTCCCCAGTTCACAAGGCAGCCCATGGGCCCCTCTGGCCCTCAGACTTGCTACACCCTCTCACAGCTCCATGCCTTGATTCACGCCATTCTTCCGTCTGCAACACCCTTCCTTCCTTTCCTGCCTCAGGAACCCCTACTCATTCTTTAAGACGCAGCCCAAATGTCACCTCTCTTTGAAGCCCCTACTGGACCCATCTGTCCCAAATCAGATGACAGTGAAGCTTATTATTCCTAACACTAGTAAGTATAGTGGACACTCCTTAAATATTTCAGTTATAGTTTATAACCTTTTCCCCTCACATTGATGAAAACATTTTACCAGACCTGAGATCCTGATAATCTCACCCAAGTGAAACTGCCCTCTACTCATTCAAAATTCGTTAAACGCCAGCTCTGTGCCAGGTAACACAGTACAATACGGTGGTGAACAAAACAAAGTCCTCTCCTGCCTAGGATTATAGTCTGGTGAAATAGAAAGACAAAAACAAATAGGTTGTGATAAGTTCGAGGAAGTAAAATTTAACAGAATAAAGGGTATTAGGGACACATAGTGCTGTGTGAGTAGTGTACTCAGGGCTGGCCTCTCTGAGGAGCTGACATTGGAACAGAGATCTAGGTTAAGTGAGGAAGGAGCCGTACAATATTTAGAAGAAGAAAGTTCCAACAGCAAGTACAAAGGCTTGGAGGTGGATCTGTGCCGCCCAAACCAAAAAGTCCATGCTAATGAAGCTGATGGAGTTCCTCAAAGCTGGCTTAATTGCTGGAATATAATTCTAGTCCCCTGTGAGCCAGGTGCATAGAGGAGAGCTCGTAACCAAATTTTAGGCCCCTCATGCTGAAGTGAAATGCTTTTGCAATCTCTCCTTCCCTTTTTACCTCTTTGGAATCAACCTGTTTTGTTTTAAAGCCCAGTTTGCACCTGGATACAAATGTTAAGTGTTAGCATCCCTCCTAAGAGGGTCATGAGTATATAAAAGCTGCTGACTTACAAACTGTGGTGTGTTTAGTCTTTCAAGAATTTATAGACTTTATCCTCCTTCACTGCTATATCCCCAGTACCCAGAGCAGTGCCTGGCACATAGTAGGTGAACATAGTTTTTGAAAGACTAAATAACTAGAAGCGTAATTGGAAGGGTTGAGAACAGCAAGGACATCAAAGAGTGTGTGAATTTCCAGACGGGTTCGCAACCTTAATATCCTTCAGGAAACAAAGAAAAAAAGAATCGTTAGAATATAGTAATTTTTAGGACTAACTTTACAGATGCAAAATTGAGACTGTACAATTTGATGGCATCTATTCGGATCTGAGAATAGAGGCATGGAATTTCTAATATTAACCAGTTTCACCAAAGAATCCTAAGAATAAATAGATTTTAGACCTATCTTTCTGGACTTCAAAACAGTTTAACTCCTTTTTGGATATAGTGCCTCACAAAACCCACCACTACCACCACCAACAACCACCTCATTTTAAGCAATTGTTTCTAGCTTTCATTCTGTATGTTAATTTCTTGACTTAGGTAGAAATGTTCTCCTCCCCCCCCATAGGTTGCTTTCTGCAATGGAGAGCACTGCCTCTTTAGAGAAAATGCCTGCTGCGTTTTCACTTTTTGAACATTATGATGACAGCTCAGCAAGAAGTGACCAGATGTTAAAACAAGTGGCTGGTAGGAATTTTGAGATATTAATTCCCTCGATGAAATTTGGCAGTGTTTCCTTGTTTGTTTTGTAAAGTTTTTAAATTAAAGTATAGTTGACAATATTATATAAGTTTCAGGTGTACAACATAATGATTAAAAAATTTTATACAGTAAGCTGTGCTCACCAAGGTAAGTGTAGTTAGCATTCGTCACCATACAGCGTTATTACAATGTTATTGACTCTATCCCCTACGATGTACTTCTCATCTCGGTGACTTACTGATTTTATAACTGGAAGTCTCTACGTCTTAATTCCCTTCACCTATTTCACCCATTCCCTGAAGCCCCCTCCCCTCTGGCAACCACCAATTTGTTCTCTGTATTTATGATTCTGTTTCTGTTTGTGTTTGCTTGTTCGTTTGTTCCGTTTTTTAGATTCCACACATAAGTGAAATCATATGGTATTTGTCTTTTTCTGACTTATTTCATTTAGCATAATACCTCCTAGGTCCATCCATGTTGATGCAAATGGAAAGATTTTGCTTGTGCCCAGTGGTGGAATTCCTGGATTATATGGTATTTCTGTTTTTGAATTTTTGAGGAACCTCCATACTGTTTCCCACAGTGGCTGCACCCACTTACATTCCCACCAACAGTGCACTCCAATATCTACAATCTCCACATTCTCGCCAATATTTGTTTTTTTTTCTTTCCTTTTTGATACTAGCCATTCTGGCAGGTGTAAGGTGATATCTCGTTCTGGTTTTGATTTGCATTTCCCTGTTGATGAATGATGTTGAGCATCTTTTCATGTGTCTGTTGGCCATCTGGATGTCTTCTTTGGAAAAACTATTCATGTCCTCTGCTCATTTTTTAATTGAATGATTTGTGTGTTTTGATGTTGAATTGTTATAAATTCTTTATATGTTTTGGATATTAACCCTTTAGATACATCATTTGCAAATATCTTCTCCCATTCTGCAGATTGCTTTTTTGTTTTATTGCTTGTTTCCTTCACTGGGCAAAGGCTTTTTATTTTGGTATAATCCCAATAGTTTATTTTTGCTTTTGTTTCCCTTGTAAAATTTTTGTATGTAAGGAGATATAACTGGAAAAAACTCTTAGTTGTAAAAATTTAAAGCTAGATTCTGAATCAAAGCATAAGACTAGCATACCATTTCAGTTATAATCTGCATTTCCATCTGAAGCTCTGTGACTGTCCTGGGCTATCAAGGAGATAGGAAGAAGTAGCAATGGAACCAAAGGGTCCCATCTTTTTTCTCTCTTTGTAAAATAGGATTTCTCTCTCTGTCTTCGAGAGATTATTTGCTTCGCACCAGCAGTCAGATATAGAAGGAAAAATAAATCAAATATTTTCATATGCGTTGAACAGATTTTTCCTTATGAGTGGTTTTTCCCTCTTCAACTGAGTCGTCCCCCCGCCCTCCGCTTTTTTCATACTAAACAGATTAGCTTAGAGAACTAACAGCTCAGCATCATGCTCTGTGGCCAGGAGCCTCCTACTCAGCTGTCGGAAGCATCCTGCCGGCTCTTCAAAATATTTTTTAAAGGGCTATTTTAACAAACAAGACAATGAAACTTATTTAGATTTCTCAAAGCTGCTGTGTTTCAGTGAAGTTATGAAGTTTCACTTACTGTAAAATATACTCAGATATCTTCCTTAAAAGATACTATATTCTTTCCAAACCACCTTAAAGACAGCTGCTATTTTTACATTGACAATTAATTTTCATTCCTGTAGGAAGAATTTTAGTTTGGTAAAGGGCTTTTTCGGGGGTCTTTTAAAAAGACCCCCCAAACCCACCAACCTTATAGAAAGTGAAAAATTCAGTCATTTATCATAAGAGATTTTCTCTATAAATGTGTTAAAACCAAAGGGTGTTTTTTGTAATGTCTTTAAATCGAGAGGTGATTGGAAACTAAGAAATTCTGATTAACAGAGTAGGTTGTTCGCTTCTAAGGGATTCGTTGTATGCTGCTGTTCATTTAGAAGGATATTCTTTCGAATATCTGACAGGCAAAATGAGAGGACATTTTATATATTTGAGAGGCCACAGAGTTAAGTTGTCACAAAGTGTTAATGATTCGTTCAGAAAGAGGGTGCTTGGGACTCCCGGGAGTTCCGAGCCGTTTACAGGGAGACTGATTTCTGAGAAGCAAAGCTGCACATGGTATGGCTGCTTCATGGGATTGGAGCCCAGGGGTGTTGACTTACTGCTAAATAGTATTTGTTCATTTTTGACTGGTGGTGGTGACGCCTCTCAGATATAAAATCCTCACTGGGTACCTGAAAAGTTAATCCGATCACTGCCTAAGCCAATCAGAAATTCTAAGGAAAGGATGTGACAGCCCCTAGCATCTATTTCACACTCACATGCCGCCAGGCACTGGGGACACCGCAGCATATCTTTTGCTCCAATCTTGCGACAAGCCTAGGAGGTAGGTTTTGTTATTATTCCCATTTGACAGGTGAGGAAACAGAGGGAACAGAAAAATGTCTCCTATATTGCCCTAGATGTACGGCTACTTGTGCGGTGTGGGGGGTGGGGTGGGGAGCAGTTCGGCTTCAGGGTCTCTGCACTTGAAACACTGCCCCACCACAGAGAGGCGGAGTGCCTTGCCCTGAGAGAAGGGATAACCAGAGATTAGTAACATCCAAGGCTTCCTCGACTTTGGCTCCTAGGGACTTTTTTTTTTTTTTTTTTTTTTTTGTGGTAAAATACACATAACATAAAATTTACCATCTTAACCACTTTGAGGTGTATAGTTCAGTAGTATTAAGTGTATTCACATTCTCGCACAACCATCACCAGTATCCATCTTCCAAATTCTTTTCATCCTGCAAAACTGAAACTGTACCTCTTGAACAACACCTCCCCTTTCCCCCGGCTCCCCAGCCTCTGGCAACCACCATTCCACTTGCTGTCTCTATGAATTTAACTACTCTCCGTCCCTCCTGTAAGTGGAGTCATACGGTATTTGTCTCTTTGTGACTGATTCATTTCACTTAGTGTCATGTCCTCAAGGTTCATGCATGGTGGCATGCGTCACATGTCCTTCCTTTGCTTTTCTTGTTTCCCCCCCCCCCCCGCTCCCTTTTCAAGGCTGAATAATATCTTATTGTATGTCTATACTGCATTTGCTTATCGGTTCACCCACTGATATCTACTTGGGTTGCTTCCACATTTTGGCTGTTGTGAATCATGCTGCTCTTCTGGGAACAGCTAGATGGAGTGGAAATCTACGTGGCCACACAGGTGCTGAAGTCCAAGTTGATCTGATGCTTACCTGAGTGTGACAGCTCTTTATGGGCACATGCCATCAGGTAGAGGGAATCCATGGTGTCATTTCTCTGCCCAATTCCGTAGCCTCCCATAAAGAAGCCTTAAAATCCCATTTTGTATTTTTTTGGCATTACTCCTTTGCAAGTTTATTCCTATAGAAGTGTAAACAGAGTTGCTAATGTATGAAATCTGAGCCCCTGATATCCTGCCACACAGGAACTGCAAATCTAGCCATTATCGTTGGATTGCATCTATGGAATATTCTTATTCTCTTTTTAATTTTAGAATGCTTTGAAAAGTAAAAATGTTTCCTGTTTTTGAAAAGAGATGTTTTAACTGGGGGGAATTTTGGGGGAAGGAGCACATGAGGTACAAAATCATTCCTAGCCCACATGCTTTGCTTAATTCCCTACAACCACTTCTTCCTTAAAATTTGGTGATTTGTTGGGGGAGTAAATATCACTTTTTTAAGTTTGTTAAGCTACCTAAGAGAGAGAGAGATTTTTGAAAACATGTTGCCATTTTTAAAAGCAGATATAGCTCAATGTAAAATTCATAGGAAAAAAGAAAGGGAGATTTTCATCATTCATGCCTCAAGGAGTTCGGCACCGTTTCAAAGACGATTGACAATAGTTGAAGAATTCTGCCTGGCTCTTCAGTAAACCTGGGCACCATGAAAATTTACTGAACTACATTTATCTGGATGGACTCCTGTAGAATGTGACACTGATTTCCTGCCCGGAAGACAAATAAGAAAGTTAAAGACAGTGTGAGGGTCTCTGAACCATTATCATTCGTTGGGGAGGTGCTCTGACAGGCAAGCTTCTGAGGTTATTGAGCAGCCTGCTCAGCATGTCTTACCTCTGCAGTCCCTCTGTGATTTACCAGATGATGGATCCCCAGTTCAACTCCCATCTTCACGGGCTTCCTGCCTTCTCTCCATTTTCTGTGCTCCTGCCAAGGCTGTTTTGCCTTTTGAAACTTTAGCGCTGTTTGTGTGTCAGACAATCTACTAAGCACTTAATGTACATATGCTGCTTACAACAAACCTGGGAGGAAATGGTATTATTATTATTATTATTATTTTCCCATTTCAAAGATGGGGAAACTGAGGCTAAGCTAACACAGCTATTAAGTGGGGGATCTGGCATTTAACCTCAGACTGGTGTCTCTGCTTTGAAGCCTATGAACTTGACCACTCTCTTATCCTGCTTTTCATAACTCTGTGTTTCCTTAGCTCCTTATCTCTTTATCGAATCTTTTCAATTTGTCTCTTTTTGTTCCATTCTTTAGACCTATTTATTATTTTATTTTATTATTATTATTTTTTACCTTCTTGTTGAACTAACCTTTGTTTTCTTTTCCTTCGGTGTTGACTTTTCATAAAGTAATCTCGTAAAATTTGGCCCATAGTATTTCAGTAAGCTTATCTCTCAGGAAATGTTGACTGGAAAAAATAACCACAAAAGCAAATTTAAAAGCATGACATCTTTTCAACTATAGGAATAACCTTTTCCTCTAATTTGTAAAATATGTTCAATGCTTTTGTATCTCAAAAATTTTGGAAGAGAGTTGCATAAGAACTTGATTTATGGCGTTGTACATACCATTAATGTTCAATATGCATAAACTTTAAAAATCTCTATGAAAACACTTGAGAATATTGTCTGAATTTAAAATTCAGAAAAATAGAATTATATTAGATATCTAAACCTTACCTTTGCATCAGTTAATAGGGTACTTTTTCTTTTATGTAGTTTTTATATTTTGTTTAATTTTTAAAAAATGTGTTGGTATAGTCACGTTAGAAAGAGAAAATGGGATAGTAACTTCAGAAAGTGTATTTTGATATTTTTTATTCATACCAGTCTTTTTTCAGCTTTGATGATGTAGCAACTGGATCTGAAAGAGTTTTATTTGTCTCTGTTCTGAATATAGACCCTATTTATGTAGAAGGAAACAACAGTGGTTATGTAGCAAAGCAACTCAAGTTTTCATTTTGAAGGAAAACCAAATCATTTGATGCATCCTCTCACCTCTATATAAGTTTGTTACTCTGAATGTAGGACTACAGAAGATTATTATCAAGTGATGACAGTTTGGGATCTATGTTTATTTCTCTGTGTCTATAAGCACGTATATACAAATGCATAAAAAACATTTTGGAGGGACACACACTCAAATGTCACAGTGGTTGCCTCCAGCGAATATGCTTGGGTGGGTGTTGTTGAGAACAAGGGAGCCCTTCCACATTTACTCCATGTATTTCTGTATTGTTTGAAGTTTTTTCAATGAGCATAAGTGAGTTTAGCATAATGAAAAAGAAACAATGAGTAAAAACAGCATTAGCGATAATCAATCTTGCTTTTATTCCAGTTCCACAGCCTCCTAGATTAGAACCTCAGGAAGCAAATTCTGCCACCAGCACCACAATTGCAGTTTATTGGAGCATGAACAAAGAAGATGTCATTGATTCATTCCAGGTTTACTGCATGGAGGAGCCACAGGATGACCAAGAAGTAAACGGTAGGATTGCTAACACAAATACAGATGCATGTCAACATTTCTGTAACTTAATATGAAGTATTTAAAGATATGCATATTATGATTCATTCCACAAAGCATTTATAGCACATATAAAAACAGCAACAAACCGACAACCATATAAGCAAACATAAAACACATAAGCAGAAATTGGAAATCAGAATCAAGGAAAAGAAAATGCATACATATCAATGGTCAACATGAATATTGTAATTGAGATTCAGATTTGGCTTTGAGCTCTCAGGATAACAGGAGCAACTAAGATTCTCATTTTCAGAAAGGAGCACTTCAGGGAGAACAAGTCTCCATCAGTGCTTGAGTCTAAAAGAAAGTATAACATGTACCAATTTGCAGAAGAGAAATGAGCTGTATACAAAACAGTGTCCTCCAAAATAATTTTTTTTTAAGATTTTATTTATTTATTTGACAGAGAGATAGAGAGAGAGCACAAGTAGGCAGAACGGCAGGCAGAGGGAGAGGGTGAAGCAGGGTCACCGCTGAGCAGGAAGCCAGACTCGGGGCTCGATCCCAGGACTCTGGGATCATGACCTGAGCCGAAGGCAGCCGTCCAACCAACTGATCCACCCAGGCGCCCCCCTCCAAAATAATTTTAATGCAAATGCAGTATTGGATGTCATGGCTGGCGGTTTCTCAGATCCACCTTGATAAAAGCTGCAAACAAACCATAAAGGTTAATTCAGGGTTCATAATTCTCAAGGCATGGGCCTCAGTATGTGTAGTCTCCCTGTGTCTCCAATTCATATGCAGATGGAAGTGAAAGTGATTAGTAGGGTGAATGTATGACACATATTTAGTTGAGCCTCTGTAAATATCTCTCTGTTCAGTAGGACTTCTAATGAGACCTAGATGCCAAACACTTGGAGTCTGTACTTCCTAATGAATCAGAACTGTTGTGCTGGCATTTTTATATTGCTTGTTGAAGACAGACCCACATATTTTGGAAACCCCATGAGCATGTGACAGGATGGACATGGCATTACAAAACTCAGGAGCCCAATTTGTCATGAGAAACAAATTATAATATAGTTCGCTGTTACCAAGATTTAAGGCTTTTGAGATGTCATATGATACTTATTTAAATTAGGAAAAGGTAAAAAAAAAAAAAAAGCAACCATAGGCATAGTGTAAAGTTGGCTAAGTTTGTTTATTAAGGACTGCTTATTTTCCTGGTGATGTGATCATACATCTGTCACAACACAAGGTGAGTGTCATTATCCCCATGTGCAAATAAGGAAACTGATGGGAGGTGAAGTAATTTGCCCACGGTCACACAACTTATACATCAGGGGGGTAGGATTCAAGCACAAACCTTTGAGACTCCAAAGCTTATGTTTTGGTTTGCTTGTTTCTGTTTGTTTTGTTATAGCACGCTTCTCCCTCCTCGATATCTAGCTGTAGAGGTCATGGAACTGTGTGGCTCTCCATGACTCCTCTTAACACCAATTTATTGCCTGGAATGTTTTGTTTGAAGCGCTTCAGCTCCTCCCCACCCCCAGCCTCCAAACGCTTAACGTGTCCTGTGTCTCATTCATTCGACACCTTGAAATCTACTGATGTCAGTTAGCTGATCCAGTGATCTATACTGGGATACTGTGCTGTGTGTGGGGTCTCCCCCAACATACATTGTGTGCATTGTTGAAAGAAGTGCTGGGACAGCAGGACTCAGCCGAAGGGCATGATTCCACTGAAGACTGCAGCCACAGTTTCTACAATGTGGGGGAAATGTTTTTCAGTGTGTAAGTCCTTATGAGATTCTTTAAACCAAACTTTCCATCCAGAAAGTATAGCTCAGTGGGTTGGAAAGATGCAATTAAAGAAACTGAGTTGAAGAGCTTCTAAATTTCCTTTAAAAGAAAATGATCTGAAACAAATAATGCAATATATGTTAAGGAAAAAAAAAAGAAGAAGAAGAAGGTAGCGGGAGGGGAAGAATGAAGCAGGGGAAATCGGAGGGGTAGACGAACCATGAGAGATGATGAACTCTGAAAAACAAACTGAGGGTTCTAGAGGGGAGGGGGGTGGGAGGATGGGTTAGCCTGGTGGTGGGTATTGAGGAGGGCACATTCTGCATGGAGCACTGGGTGTTATGCACAAACAATGAATCATGGAACACTTCATCTAAAACTAATGATGTAATGTATGGGGATTAACATAAGAATAAAAGAAAAAAAAAGAAAATGATCTGGGCTTCTTAACTGGAGGAGTTTTGAAGATGTGACTTTCAAGAGAAATAATGGAGGAGAACTAAAATGACCACAGGCTAATTTAAAAAAGAAAATAATTCTTTGTAAAGGAGAAAAAATTTCAGTAAGAATAATCAGATTGGCCCAAAGGGGCACATGTTCGTAATGGTATCGCGTAGGAATGCCACTAAAATATTGAAAGTAAAATAACGTAAGAAATTTTAGGAAATGTCTTGTTTGAACAAGTTATTTTTTAGAATAGTTTATGACTTATCAAAGTTATTCAAGTATTTCTATAAATCGTGGAACTCTCTAGTTGAAAGGATTCTGGAATTCATGAGGAGGAACCAGGATTTGAAACTTTGAAAATCATGCTGAGTACTAAAATTGTTTACTAATTTGGAAAGGTATTTTATAACATCATAAATTTAGAGAAAATGGGGTTGTCCATATTTATTACATACTCTCCTGAAATATTAGCATTGCTTCTTACGAATTTTTTGAGAATGTACTACAGAGATTTAAGCTATTATAATATAAACTACGCAATTTTAGTGTTTGCTATTGAAATAAGTTATTTTAATTGTGGCAGATGAAGCCCAGAATGTTACTAATATGCTATTATTTTCTGGTAAGCATTCACAGTAATAATGCATCACTCTAAATATCTCTTTTTACCATGCCGTTACTTTCTTATGGATTCTAAAGTGAGAGCTATCACAAAATGATACCTGTCAGTTTTTTTTTTTAATTTTTTTATTCTTATGTTAATCCCCATACATTACATCATTAGTTTTTGATGCAGTGTTCCATGATTCATTGTTTGGGCATAACACCCAGTGCTCCATGCAGAATGTGCCCTCCTCAATACCCACCACCAGGCTAACCCATCCTCCCACCCGATATCTGTCAGTTTATCAGTTTGAATTTTCCACTGAAAATAGTAGAGCAATTCTTCCAATAGCTATAATTTTCAATTAACTTTGGAAGACACCCTAGAGTTTATAACTGTGTTTTATGCTAGACTTGGTAGAAGAATACAGATTGACAGTGAAAGAAAGCTACTGCATTTTTGAAGATTTGGAACCTGACCGATGCTATCAAGTGTGGGTAATGGCCGTGAACTTCACTGGATGTAGCCTGCCCAGCGAAAGGGCAATTTTTAGAACAGGTAAAGAGATGTTAAGGGGGTGTTGGGAGGCAATATTCAATTCTTCGCACACTACTGAGATCAACTAATAAGCATTTATTAAGCACCTTTTGTGTGCTGGGTGTTGTACAGTGCTGAGTATTCAGTGACGAATAAAGCTTGGTTCCTGTTCTCAAGAAGCTTGCAGTCAAGTGGGAGAGATAAAAAACAAAAGATCATAAAAAACTGTGGTAAGGGCCATGATCTAGTTATTCACAAGTTATTATGAGAACACTCCACAGGGATACCCGAGAGAGCCGGGGCGGGGGCAGGATCTGGAATGGCTTCTTAGAATTGATGCCTGAATGGAATCCTTTAAAGGATCAGTTAAAGGAGTGTATTCCATTTGAAGAAAACATGTGAGCAGAGACATCAAGGTAAGAAACAGTATGGAGTGTGCAGGGCACTACAAGAAGTTTGTTACTATTTCTTTGACTTAAAAACAAGGAGAGGAAAGACATGAAGTAAGAAAGGCTAGTGTTTGGGGGCCATGTTTGCCAAGGTAAGAAGCTTCATCGTATGGGTGCTGGGAGCCCCAAAAGAGTTTTCAGCAATGATATTCAACTGGGAATGCATTCCCACAGTGGAGCCTTTTCACAGGGAGCTGAAGTAGGTGCGGCATAAACCAAGTTTGCATTGCCTTGAAGATCATTGTAACTACCTCAGAGGAAGAAATGACTCACTCCCACCATTTTATCCTTTCTTCTTGCCTTCTGAAACAAGTATTTATTAAGTACCTACTGAAGGCAAGATCATGGCTAACTTTTTTGTGAAGGGAGGTGGACAAGAATCTCCTTTTTATTTGCTTGGATATGTAGAAAGAAACTGGCGGGATTTCTAGGAAGCTAATATTAAAGGCTCTCTGGGGATGGGTGAAAACTGCAATTTGGAAGGTAGAGGTGGGAGGGAGACTTTTCATTCTTTAAATTTTCCTATCTTTTGGGCTTTCAACCAAGAATGTATTTTTTAATCAAAAATTCAAATAAAGTCATGCCCAAGCACATTTCTCAGGGTACCAGGGAAGCAGGGCTGATGTTCATATTATGTTCCATAATTGATTTAGTTCTCTCTTGCAGCCCCTTCCAGCCCTGTAATCTGCGCCGAGGACTGTACGGTGTGTTGGAACATGGCCACCATCCGATGGCAGCCCGCCAACCCAGAGGCTACTGAGACCTATACTCTGGAGTACTGTAGACAGCACTCTCCAGAGGCTGAGGGCCTCAGGTAAGGAGCCTCTCCTCGGGAGACCTCACCTCTCCACGGGGAGAGCCCAGGGTGCCTGGAACTCAGCTGAAGGTCCTAACCTAACTCAGAGCTTCTGCTCACAGAGGGAGAAGAGCTTCCTAAAATCTTGCTGAGCTAATGAAGCTGTTGACTTGATTTGCAACTCCATCACTATTCATCAATGAACTCCCAAGTTTGTAATAAAACACATGCTACAATGCAGAATAATGACTCCCTTGTAAGAAAAATGTATGCAAATTTTAATAAGATGGAACATTCTTTGAGGTATATTTAACTTGAATCCTTAGACAGGATTTATGCATATTTCAAGCACTTTTTAGTAGTTATATCAGAATATTAGTAGTTATATCAGAATTACTACTAATAGTGAGCTTGTATATAAAGTAAATCTGGGTCTCCTTGATGTATTGGTAATACAAAGGAGCTAATTATATATATATTATTACAGAGACATACCTGCCTCTCTAAGAGCATGAAGGATCTAAAGAGATTTTGCAGGAAAAAAAGAAATGGGAAGCTCTCTCACTAAACTTATAAAGCTTTAAATTTATCAATAAAGGGCTGTACATCCTGGGGGCATTTGGTAAATGTTGATTTATTTACTGAGGGGGTGATTTCTTAGCCTCCGTCCATGGCAACAGAGCAACTTTACATTCCATGATGCATATTCAGGTCATTATTATTAATGCTCATATTTTAATAGAGACATTTGTAGTTTTTTTTTTAAATGAAATTTACTGAGATAAACTATTTTGGTAGGATATAAAACTTAGAAATAATGGTGTGAAATTAGACAGCTTTTTAATAAAGTGTATTATTTAAGCTCTTGATTACATGATCAATCAACAACTATTTATTTAGTTATGTGAGGTTTCATTTGACTGAGCAATAATTACAGTTTCTTTCAAGTATGTGAAGACAGGCTTCATAAAATAATGATCAAAGGATGAATTAATGTTGAGTGTATGGGTGGAATGTAGGCATTTCAGCAGAAGTGAGAACATAGTAAATGTACAAAAAACAACATCTCTGTTAATGTGCCAAATGCTGGGTGGCAGGCTTCAGTAATTAGCAAACAGAGGAGTGGTAAACTCTGACTAAGATGGGATGGGAGAAGAGGAGAGAGAAGGAGGAGGAAAGGAGGGAGAAAGGGCGATAGTGACAGAAGAGATTATAACTGACTTTTATTGAGCATTTACTATGTGCCAGTCACTGCCCTCAATGCTTTATGCACATTGCCTTATTTAATTCTTATAGGAACTCTGAGAGAAAACAGACATTTTGAGAGGGTACTGAGCGAGTGAGTAACAATCAGGATTCAAACCCCATTTTGTCAGATTTCGAAGTCCAGGCTGCTAATTCCTGTTTAATGTCACTTAGGGGATTCTTGGGCCTTCTCCACAAAAACCCTTGGTGTCATGAGAATCCTGTATCAGCAGTGCCTGAGTCCCTGAGAATCTCTCCCACTGTTCTCCACCAGCAGTGAGGAAAACCCAGTTCTTTCTGAGGCAAAATCAGACTGTTAAGGAGTACTCTGAAATGACTCATCCTTGTTATGATATCGTCCCCGGCTGGCATTTGCATAAATAATATCAGCACAGTTGGATTCTTAAATCAGCAGAGATCTAGAAAACCTGAGACCCAGTAGCCATCTCACTAAGGGAATTGTGATGTCACCTCATAAACGTAGCTACAGGGAGAAGAGAAAGGGGGGATGGACGGGCAAATGTCATTCATTGAAGGTCTTCAACATGCCAGGAACTGGGCTAAATCTCATTCAGCCCTCTCAAAAATCCTAGGAGGGAGCTGAGGTGATGATCTCCATTAAATGAGATTCAAGGAGGTTACATAATTTGGCCAAGGTAGTAAATGATGGAATGAGAATTTGGAGTTAGGATCCAAACTCAGATCTGTCTTATTCTCTCCATTAGTCCTAAACCTTGAGTTAGTACGTAGACTGAGTTAGTACATGGACTGTGTTAGCATACTTCAACAGCCTGACAACATGGAGTTATTATGTCTCCAAGGTTTCTTCTGTCACATGAAAATCATAGATTTAAAGAGAGAATGCAGTACCATTATTCAAAACTTCATTGATCAGTGTTTTTCCTTTTCCTGATCACCTTGGGACCCTCAAAATAAAACAAACAAAATGTTCATTTAGTATCAAAAATGATAAATACATTCCAAACAAATCCTTCTATCAAAGCCAAAGGAACCAATGACAGTTCCATTTGTAAGAAAAAAAAAATGGCCATCCACTAATTTTATTAAGACAAAAGTCGAGCTAATTAAAACATAAGGCTTGTCATTAGTTTATTCTATTTGAGACTTTGCCAGTGGGTTCATTTTTAATTTTTCCCATTAAAGGAGATCATCTGAGAGGCTGGATAAGCAGAAGTTCCTAGTAGTTCTAGAACAATACAAGGATCCTTTGTTAGTGAATGGATATAGTCCAGCGAGTTTAAAGTGAAGGGAAATTCCACATGCAGAGCCTTGTTGATAGTTTGGAGCTGTGTTGGAGATGGAGCTGCTTTCCAGTTAGGTGCTAAAAGACTCCTCAGTGCCAGGAGGTGGAATGGTATGTCCAATCCACAACCCAGGGTGACTCTCCAGCCTCTGGAGCCCTGCCGAGTCTGACAAAAAATTTAATTTCTTGAAGCAAGCACAAATTTGTTGGCCACAAATCATTGCCCTGTTCATTTGCTAAGTCTGTTGCTCTTGTACCATATTAGAGCCATCCCTCATCAATATAAAAGGCTCAATGTCTTATACCCCAGCTTAGCATCAGGGGACTGGAATAATTCATCCTTAATCTCAGAGGCCCGGGGCCGCAAAACTCATTTGTATCTCTTTTGGTTCTCCAATTTAAGAGTTCCAGAAGGAAGGAAAATTCTGCTCTTTGGGAGTGGCCATGCGCTTTAGTCTTTCAACTATCTGGTTCTTAAAACCAACTTGAAAGCATTCCTTACAGGGTCGGATAGTTCAAAACTCTATAAAACGTTATTAACTATTTAACTATCATCTATGTTGCTCTATCTCTAACATAACAACTGTACACAGCTAGGCAGATAATAGAACTGATAAACAAGGAAACTTAAAACTTTATCACCTCTAGTCAACAAATGCAAATAATCCCTACTGTTCCATTCTATTAGAACCACATTGTTCACTTTGATTTTTTGCACAGCAGCGCATAATTAGAGTTATTCTGTGTCCTGGAAAGAACAGCAAGCCAAGAGGTGTCTGATCCCGCTCACTTGTTGGCTGAGTGCAACTGCAAATGAAAATTTGCAGCCTCAGTGTCGGGACAGTATCTGGCATATTGTAGCTACTCAATAACTACGTGTTACCTGAATGGGTTAATATCAATTAACACTGAACACAAAATACTGATACCAATAAGAGAAGTTAGGCTGGATTTAAGGATAATCTCATTCAAAATGGGAACAAAATAACCATGCTAACAAAGTAGGGAAGAATGGTGAATGAGTTAATTTTAGTGCTTTGGATGCTTGGGTAGGAGATAGGACCAGCCTGGTCTGTGGGCTGGAAACTGGTTAATGGGTCACTCATAGCGAACAGCACTGATAATCTTGTTTAGCCATTGGTTGCATAACCCTTTTATTGGTTCTGGGTTCTATCCAAAAACCCTGTGCTAAACCAGATCCAAAAATTGATCCAGAGGTCACTGCTGGGGAGTAAGGGGTGATCAAAGATTACTTCTTTTTGATGTGGCTAGGCTGGCTGGGTGAGGATGGGGACCTTATCTGTGTAGATATTCAATAAAGGTCTGTTTAATGAATGAATGAGGGGGGCGAATGAGGGGAGTAGCCAAACTCCTTTTGGTTTTGCCACTCTCACATCGTCTAACTGGCTGGAATCTCTGGTCTAACTGGTAGAGGAGAGCTGAGGACTAAATGAGTTCACATCTCTTTCTTACCCTCAAACCCTGAAAAGGCAGACAGCCTTAAAGGCTCCAGTCTGGAGTAGGAAGAGAAATTGAAAGGAAATTAAAAGAATGGAGAAAAGAATGAATAATAGGAACACACACACACACACACACACACACACTCAGGGCATTGATTACCCTTTAGATTGGGGAATCTGATTTTGGTTGCCAGAACAGAAACACAGTCATCTTCAGACCTGCATTCATTCTCCCAGTATGATGGCCTCTAAATATTCCGATTTAAGATCAAAGATGCTGGTTGAACTCTTATGGTGAGTGTTTGAATGGAATGAGCCTACTGAGCCCCCAAGTTCCATGACGTGGTATCTGAAATAACCAAGCAATTGCCTCCATTCCATAATCCTCACAGAAAGCACATTTGCATATTTTTGTGTGTGGGCACCATGGCTGGGTCCCAGCAGTCGGCCCCTGTTGGGATTGGGCGTGGGCAGGAGTGACAATCCCCGGCCTGTGTGTGGGGGCTGAGGGAGCTCCTACTCACCCTTTCCTGTTTTTCTTTGAATGCTCTCCTCAGGTTGGGTGGGCTCAAAACACTTTCAAAAATTTTCCACCGCTCGGCTGTTTCCTCAGCTGTTCTGTCTCTCCTGTGTAGAGAGAAGTCAGCAGAACTGTGGGTGGAGGAGGGAAAACTGAGAGAAATATAGTACAGGGATTAGCTGTGTGGGCTGTGCAGAGAGAAGCTGTGTACTGAATGACAAATCTGTGAGACTCAATACACCACAAAAGTAGTCGGTTGTGAACTTCCTGCTCCCCTCCCTGGCTGAGGCTGTAGGGGTGTGGAGACCTTCTCTGGGTCTCCTGCCCCAGAAGCATCCCCAGGGTGGGCTGGGCTCTGGTTGCTGGGCCCATAAGATCACATTCTTCCTGCTTCCAGCTTTCAGGGCCACACGTGGTGGGGCAGGGACAGAAAAGTCTGTCACAGGTGGGTTTTCCAGCTGGGGACACCTGCGGCTCTGTCTGCGTATTAAGGACAAATAAGGGCGAGTTTTCTAATGAACTTAGTACC